GTTGCTTATGTGTGGGCAATGGGAGGTATTAGAGGACCCACTACCTGCTTTGGGAAAATGTTGTCTGTCTTGCATAGAGCCCACCTTCCTCCTAAACCTTCTTTCAGCGTGCCTTCCTACACCAGCTATCATACCACCCTTCATTTAGTACACTGTACGGTATTCGAAATATAAAAAATCGCTAGAGACTGGACGAAAAACAAATGCATGAACGGTGCTGTTTTTTTTCTCGTCCCGTTCATCATAGTTTTTTAAAATTAACTAGAGGAAATTCTGGTGCTGCGATTGTTCAGCGACCATGGAAATGATAGGTAGTACACACATTTGCCTAGTATTCGTACTTGCGGGCGGCGAATCTTACTTGCGGCTTCGTTTATTGCTGTGTTTTGGTGTGTTTTGGTGACGATATTTGTCTATGGACTTCGGCTGTAACTCATCTACAAGTACGTGCAACAGTTCAGCAGGCTGCCACCCTGACATGCTCATATCTCCGCAAGCAAGGTCTTTCCGTCTCAACGGAGAAATGTGCATTGGTTGCGTTTACTCGCAGAGCCATGACACAATACCCCGTTACCATCAATGGACAAAATATTCCATACCAGAAGAACCATCGCTTCCTGGGTGTGATTATTGACAGGGATCTTTCGTGGAGTGCCCACTGCAATTACCTGAAGAGAAGGCTAACTTCCATCGTCCATATATTGCAGTTCCTCTGCGGAAAATCTTGGGGCGCATCAACAAGGTCAATGATGCAGCTATACAGGGCACTGTTTCTGGGATTTTTGCGCTACAGCTTGCCGCTACTGGCAAGTACGTGCAAGACGAACATCCGCACTCTCGAAAGTCTGCAAGGACAAGCACTACGCGTGTGCTTAGGATTGCCGCGATACACCTCAACCTACGGGGCAATTATGATCGCCAGAGAGCATCCAATTCAAACATACATCACCACTGACAATTTGAGAGCCCACATAAGACACCTCTGCCGAGTTCCTGGTCACCATGTTGCAGTGTTGCCACTTCAAAGACCACACGCGATGTTTTCAATAATTATTTCTGCCCATAGAGAATGCTTCCTTTTGGCTTCACTCCAGCAACAAGACCAGGGTCACCCCCGTGGTGCCTACAACAACCACAGGTGTGCCTCCCTATTCCGGGAATAACGAACAAGAGCCATCATTCAACAGTGGTCCTACGACAGGTGACATTGTCGCTACTCAACGAAAAATACTGCCAGAGGACCCACATTTACACCGATGGATCGGTCTCGGCTGACAGCTCCACAGGTGCTGTTGTCATCCCGGATTACCAGGTCACTATAAAGCTGAAACTGTCGCATAGGACAACATCCACAGCAGCGGAGCTTGCCGCCTTACGTACTGCTATACTTTATATCGCGGAAGCCCGACCTCAAAAATGGGCTGTGATCTGCGACTCCAAGGCATCCCTTCAGAGCTTGCAATCAGCTTTACGACAGAGGGAGCATCAACAACTAGTGATTGAAATAAGAGACGTGATTCACGAAGTTTTATCGAAAGGACATGACTTGGTGTTCCAGTGGTTACCGGGACATTGTGGTATTGTCGGTAACGACCTTGCTGATAATGCTGCCCGATCGTCCCACGCGGACGCCCAGACCACCCCAATTTTATTGTCGAGAACCGACGCTGCAAGGGGCCTTCACTCGTTCGCTAACACCATGTCAGAAACTTGGCTGAGTGACCCCAGTGTCAGGAACCGCCGCCTACACAAATTGGACCCATCGATAAAGCTTCCAGTTCTATCGGACCTCTCCCGCCAGGATGCAACTTTACTGTGCCGCCTGTGGTTAGGAGTAGCTTTTACAAAGGCGTACTCCTTTCGCATAGGAATGGCGGATAGCTCCCGATGTGAATCGTGCGACACTGACGAGACAATAGAACATCTACTGTGTTCATGTGAACGTTTTGCGAGCGAACGCAACTTGCTAGGTGAAACGTTAGAGACACTAGACAGTAGACCTTTTTCCGAAGAGAAGATACTTGGCTCATGGCTCTACGCGTCGCTGGCCAGCAAAGCGACGCGGGCATTGCTAAGTTTTCTAAAGACGACCGGACTACGCGACCGCCTATAAGCGTGCAATGGACAAGGTCACATCTACACACACGTTGCGCTTCACTTCTCTCTCTCTTCTCCTTTAATCCCCTCACCCCTTCCCCCAGTGCAGGGTAGCAAACCGGACGTGCGTCTGGTTGACCTCCCTGCCTTTCATTTCTACCCTTCCTCCCCCTCCTCCCCCTCTTTGGTTTTGTTTTGAAAGAAAGATTCAACTCTTTTGAACTCCGTGACCCGATTTAGATAAGTAAGTCTAAAAGAATAAGATGGTGAAGCGCAACCACTGAACATTTGCTGATATTTTTTTTCCTAAGAAAACAGCTCTAAGCCACACGAACACACACGGAGTCAAAAGCGGGCCAGAAGTACGAAGATTAGACAAATGTGTGTACTACCCATCATTCTAATGCTCGCTGAAGCGCCGTGCGTGGCAGCTCCCATAGACACAAGTGCCAGAGTTCCCTCTAGTGTATATTAGGAAACTCTATGCCGTTCGTAGCGCAGTTTTCATCTTCGTCTACCATGCAGCACCAACCAGTCTACTAGCACAGTGTTGAGGTTTTCTGTAAAGCGTACTTCCCGTTGTGCTTTAGTTCAGTAGAAAAAAGCACCAGAAATGACACCAAATTGAGAAGGATGATTTTGGATGCTGAGAAGCTTATGGTTGAGCTCAACTCGCTGTGCGTGGCGGCTCTAACTGCGTGTGTGGAACAGCTGGCACAAGCACTGCCAGAACGCGCTCACGCGCTAGAACTTTCGGGCCTGTGTAAAGGGCTGGGTGAAATGCTGTGGCCTCTCCCCACACTCTCTCAGCAATCACGTGATGGCGTCGGGGAACAAGATACTGCGGACGCGCGATGAATGGACGTGCTCCCCCGTGGCGTACTTCAACAAAATTTCACGATGAATAACAGCAACAGCAACTAGTGAATCGATGGTGTGCTCCACTTGCAAGGACGCGTTAACATCCGGCAAGGTCCTGGGATAAACGAATCTTTAAGTCGACCCATGCGATGCTTCGCATGCTACTGATGGTCTTGTTTAGTGGGATGTGGTGCAATTTTTGAAGTAAAACTGTATACCTCTATCCCAAAACGATTTCGTTTTCGCAATAAACAAACAAAACGCCAGACCCCTGAACTACGAACAAATGTTCATGCTCTTGTGCTGCTCTGCTTGTTTACGCCTGTTTTTTACCGTGTGTTGTCACAGTAGATGCTCAACGTTGACATTCGGAGAGGCGGGCAGATGGACCGACGAACGAGTTCTCTGTAAACTTCTGCACAACCACAACGACACGGCTAAATTTCTACCTCTGGTTGGATTAAGGAACCAAAACAATAGCAAGCAAACGGCTTATCTTCCTTTTGATTGGAACATACTTTATATAGTTCAGAATTTCTTCCAACGAAAAACGCAAAAGAGACACCAAGGCTATGTACTGGGATATAAAGCACGAGTGAACAAAGAAAAAATTTAGGGGACCTTAAAGTTTCGCCTTTAGGAATTGAACGCGATAGCGACATTTTGTTCTAAGTGCGTACTTCAAACATTTAGTGCATGATACCGCTTCCCATTTGTTATGCACCCACTACGTGGTGTTAGGGATTGGGCTCAGTAGCCTGTGTGTCTTTTGCAGTAAGATATCATGCTTTTATTCATGGCGCCATAATGATAGTCACATGCTCTGACGCCCGTTGCTAATAGACGCATGTACAAAACAAAATTACGGCTATATTTTATGTTGCATTGTTAAGCATTTATTAAGCACGCGTGGTTTGTGAAGCATGAAAGCTACTTTCACTGAATTTCCAGGCAAAGGAAGCTCCTTGCACTGTTTCTACAAGCAGAGGCATGGCCGTGTGTTATAGCATTCACATGCCATGCAAACGACCTTGCTTCGATTACAACTTGAACCCAAACAACCCTGCTTTTATCCCCACTCTGCTCCGGGTTTTTTATCGTTTATTTATTTTATTTGCATCGTTCTCGGTTTTTCGGTCACGCATGAGCTGATGATTTTTTGCTCTCAACAACAGTGCTGGCACTGACATCGAAATTTCTGTGAAACGAGCTCTTTAGCGCAATCGCGGTAATACCGTCCCTCGTGTTCCAGGGAAAGATTAAATTGCCACTGCTTTGCACTTCACCCGAGAGCTTCGACCTCTCTTCGACATCTAATGACCTTTGCTTCTCTCCACTCGTGTTTCTCTCGTTCGTATGTAAAATAGACATCCGCTAAACCACTCGTTCTGTTCATTATAAATTGCGGTAGGACAAGGAAGTGATTTAGACCAAGAAAGTTGAAGTGAACAGAAGAGTGTGAATACCATCCTCGGCGAAATGAAAAATTACGTCTTGATGGAAATGGTCGTGGAAGCAATCTCGGTCTACCGCAGCGACCACTAAGCTGTCATCGCCACCCTTACTCATGAGTAATAATAAAACACACCCTCCTTCAGCAGGTTTGCACTTTAATACAGCTTTGATGGACGTTCACGTTCGCACCACGGGATGGCTGCCAATATTTTCTTGAAATGCTCATACTCAAGTTACCGTGCACACCTGTATATTAAAGTGACTCAGCTGCTACAGCAGCTGAGGCAGTCTACGTTTTTCATCTCGAGTAACGGGTGCATGTGCTGTATTTCTGGTACAGGTTTTCAATGTGAGCTTTTTCTTGGCACAGGTGCAGTCATTCCTTAGGGTGAAAACTGATTGCGATGCGCATTCAACAAATTATCTATCTATCTATCTATCTATCTATCTATCTATCTATCTATCTATCTATCTATCTATCTATCTATCTATCTATCTATCTATTTATCTAACCAATGTTAGTTTTTTGCGTTTTATTTATCACAGTTCTTGGGCAAACAGCTCCTTTTTTTCACCGCTATTCGCAGGTGTGCATCATAGCGAGCTTCATGCTTTGCTGGATACCATACTTCGCGGTGCACAACGTCCGAATCCACAGCCACTATTGTATCAAGGTGCCACGAGCTGTCATCGTGTTCGCCGAGACGGTCGCCTTGCTCAACAGTGCCGTCAATCCTATTTTTTACGGCCTCTTCAACGTGCACATTCGTCGAGGACTTTGCGAGATATTGTCGAGAGCTCGAGGTAGAAGCCGTTGCCGCAGCTGCTACTTCGGCCAGGACTCAACACTTCGTCAACGAGGCCGGACAATGGCCCACGCGGTGGCACTCACGACCAGCACGTGTGCTCCAGACGCCAGCTCGCTTGCAAGCCCTGCACACCACAACGGCCGCTTGCTCCAAGTGCAGCATGACGAGCAGGATAGCGTACATCTAGGCAACGTAGAGGAAGTGCCATTGGTTGCAATCAACGGCAAGGCCACTACACCATGTGCCGTGTAGCCCCTGACAAATGAAGCCTTAATATACAGTTGGCATTAGATTACATCGTTAGCTTTGTAAATAAGCGTCGGAGCTCCGCAGAAACGGGACTTGTATTTGATTTCTGCAACCTTATAATGGTCGTACCTTCAGTGGTTGTGCTCGGATGACTTATACGGAAGAGAACGTGTATCTCTGCCTTGATGCACTGAGCGCCTACATGAACAAAGTCGTGTGAGCAGGTTATGATTTGCGGTTCTCCAAAGAGACTGTATCTTATTGTAGTAATGATGTCATGTACTTTTTGTGCAGCAGCGTGTCGCAACAAAGCGACTATAACTAACCTGGCATCGCGGTGCATGTAGTAAAATGACCGGCTGGATCGGAGTGAATGTGCTGCTCACAATCAGGCTCTCTACACTATGAATACTTTTACTGAAAAGCAAAGCGAGTTCTAAGCTTTTGTCTTGTATAAAACAATTCTTTTGTTTGGTTTAGCGCATATGGTAAGCCACTTTATCCTTAATTTTTCGTCTACACCCACTTGTTGCAATGGTCATGTTTCCATTTCGTACAATAATTCCTAAAACCGGGCAAGAATGTCTGAGAGGTACTGCATTCTCTTGGCAGCATTAACTAGCTGACCCCTCCGTGACAGCGGTTCCTTATTCAGGATATATGTGTAGTTGTGTCGATGAACATGTATAATAGCGGAATGGTATATCAATTCGAAATTGTTAGTTACGTAGGAGGAACAAAAAAGCGAGCTACAACATCAGCATTGGCCCTTAAAACTAAAACAAACAAAAACAATGCTCACTTCTGAGAGACCAAACGTTCTCATTAGAGGGCAGATTTAAATTAGGCCAGTGTCCTGAAGAGGCATGCAGCATGGTCTTACGTTGGCTGTGTTACTGTGGTGGAGTCAACTATTGTTTTTTCCAGCACATTGATGACTCGCAACGTAAAGCTTGCAGCGGCTGAAATGAGTACTGTTACATAGTCCACAGGCGTTTTGTACAAGTGTTATGCGCAAAAAGGTTACACAAACTCGGTAGGGTTACTGTCTGTGATACGTAAACTGCTTCTTCGAGGACAACTTTACTAACTCTGTGACCTGTATGAGATGCAATTGCTCAAGTGTGTACTTTGTGCAGTATGCCACAGAAAGGCCTAAATGATGCCAGTGATTTTTGCGGCAGCCCCTGAATAACCTAGAAAACTAGCTCTTTAAAAAAAATGCGGGCGAAAGAGTCAGTGGGAGCGACATTTGTGTCGGCATGCAGTTGTGTATATTTTTATCATGTTTCTTGCATAAGATGTTATTATAGACGGTTACGAGCTAAGAATAAATAAGCACGCCGTCCCCAGCACTGCCGTGTGCCTCTAATAGACCTGTGCAACAAATCAACGATTGATGATTTCTGCTGGAATCATCAGCACGCTTTCGCTGATAATGCGATCCCCATTCATAATATGAACCCAAAGTTTGCCGTTTCTTTTTGAAACGTTGCGTTTGGCTGATCAGAGAAGTCAAAATTCGTTATGAAATTCGCCAAGCAGTAAACTTTTTCGACCGATAACTATTGAAACGAACATGCGCCTGCATGGCCAAGTCATATGCTGGAAATACATAAAAGAACCTGACGTCACGTAAATAATCCATTGCAGTTAGTGAAACATCTATGAACATTCGACCTGGGTGAGATGGTGACGGCTGGGGTTCGAGCTTACATTTATTTTAGGCTGTAACAGACTGTAGCAAGAAGTGGCTGTTCACAAAGGGATCGAGGTGCTATGGCATTACAAAATGAGAAGCGTGAAATTATGCTGCATCCCATAAAAAGAAAGTAGTTACATTTTAAAGTATTTCTTAGTGACACAACACAGACTCCAATTCTGCAATCGCGTTTCAATGATCCAAAATAATTTTGTGAGATTGCACGCGACTTTCTTACACCTGCTGCAGGGAGAGTCACGAAACTTTTCTGTTTCAATCAACGTGCCAGCTCTTCAAATTAGATATATTTTTCATTTTCGGCCACAACAGGTGGTCCGTGAACACGGTATTTTTGTATTTGGAACGTACGACACAACTAATCCTCACAAATTCAATACAGAAATGACGGTGTAGTGAATATGTTTCACAGCAAAGCAGACAGTTTTCAAGTTATTGCTCGAAATTGTGCTTCGAAAATGACGTGAACAACGCCCCGCATGCCTGATAGTAACATTCCTCTGGGCCCTAGCTGTGCGCTAACAGTCAATTATTGTAAAAAATGTTGCTGCTATGACAGATGTATTGAAAATGAATGAGTGTAGCTACGTGTACATATCATAAACATGATTTGTTTGAGCTCAAGGGTGACTACTTATCACTTAACATGCCTGCTAGACAATGAAGACTGTGTTTTAGTGTTGAATTTGTGTCCAATAAAAGTGTCACATGTGTCTCAAAGTAATTCAATTATTTATATATTTGGTGAAAGTGGCATTGTGGGATGTCAGTATAAATGTATTTGTTTTTTTTTTTCATTGTTTACTCCTAGGGGTAACCACTACACTGCAGCCCTCTTTTTATTACAGAGAATTTCTTAGCAAATTTTTGTCACCTTTCTCATATCTATCTATCTATCTATCTATCTATCTATCTATCTATCTATCTATCTATCTATCTATCTATCTATCTATCTATCTATCTATCTATCTGTTTATCTATCTATACGACCTTGTGCTTACACCTGCTGCAGGACGAGTCACGAAGCTTTTCTGTTTCAATCAACGTGCCAGCTCTTCAAATTAGAAATATTTTTCATTTTCAGCCACAACAGGTGGTCCGTGACCATGGTATTTTTGTATTTGGAACGTACGACACAACTAATTCTCGTTAATGGATGTATTACGGTATTAGTATCGCATGAAGTGACTGCGTGGCGACCATAAGTGACTGGTAGCAACATGGAATGACAGCAAGCATGTGGTAAATAGCACGATTTACAAGGCTCGGTATTGGTGCTTTGCCGGCCAATTTATGAATATAACGAATGCATACTGAAATTAGTATTGAGGGGCAAGAGTGTGTTGCGAGCATAACTGACCAGTGACAAAGCAGGGATTATAGTATGTATTTCTTGTGCGGCAGGTTTTACACAGCCCGTTGTTAGGGGCCCTCTAAGTGGTTTCATTTGATGGATAGATGCCTCAAATAGTAAGACATGAATTTTTGTGTATGGAATGTGAGTGAGAGCTGCCAATATGAAAATCCAAACATGCATGTCTAAGCAAAAACAACGTTATGCTCAAATTGTGCTCACGACCCTTTTGATCTCCTAATATGCAAACTTGTGTAGGCTTGACAAGATATTATGACGAACACCGTGGCAGGGTCTAAAAATAAAAAAAGTCAGGACAATCATGTCGTGCATGGCATTTTCAGATGCCATGCTTTTGGTGCTTACGGGGGCATTTCATTCACTGAATATATAGCATAACTTATAGGGCGCACCGTGGCTGTATCCCGAACATAAAGTTGTGTTTACACGACAGATATGATCGCAGACAGATCAGTAACGCGGCATGTGACGTGATTCAGATTTTCTCCGAAGCCAGCAATTAGACTGCAGAGGAGATTTCACGCTGCAAGAGACGATATCGACATTGCTACCCTAGGACCCCATGGGCAAATGTCGTTTCGCGAATTGCTCCTTGCGGACCGAAGAGAAAGCAAGAGAGCGAGTGATGTATGGTGGATGTATGGTGACGTATTACACAATCTCCGGTGCCAAATCGCGATTTCGTGCGTCGTGTGAATACAGCTTACGCAGCAGGTGCTCACACGCATAATGGGACACGCATGTCATGTATGGGAGCATATTCATGCCACGCTCATTGTGTGCAAGTGACTGTTTTGCTAGTTCAACGTAAACGAAAATTGACACTGCGGGACGTCTTTGCATGACAAGCGTGAATACTAGGTAGTGCATGATGAATACAATCAATACGTCTCACTGGTATGGTAGACGAATTGTAATTGCACGCACTTTTAGAAGGTAGCAATTGTATGCATTTATCCTGCAGTACAAGAGTACCTGATTACTTTTCATATACAATAGGCAGTAGCCTTCACAACAGAAATTGGCTCATTTCAACTGGCTGTTCCTAACGAGTTACTAAGCTCGAATGTACCACGAGGCTAACATAAAGTGCAAGTAAGGAAAAACACTAGAACGATAACTAAAAGGAATATATATAGCACAATTATAGTGCTTGGTTGGCTACTGCAAGCTTTGTGAAGAAGAAGAAAAGTACCTAAGTACAAAAAAGTAGAGTTAGTCTGCTTACAATCATAGCAACATTAGCATGTATATCCCCTCTTGCCTGCAACAATCTGGGCATAGGCCCGGCCACACAGTCTCTCACGCCTGCTGACGACATCCTGTAGGCTGGTGGATAAGCACTGGAAGGTTCCCGACCTCTCTGCTTACTTCACATCACAGTGTGTCCCAAGAGCCCCCCCCCCCATCCCCCAATTTTGGGAAGTAGAGGAGCGCAATGCTCCCATCACCGTTGCTAACCTAATTTCGCAAAGTTTCAAATACCACGTTGATCTGATGTGCGACCATAGTAAGAGTGATAGAGCATACGCTTGCGATGAGATTAGGACCATTCAGGAAGAAAATCAGTTAGCTGCATGACTTCGGGCGACTTGACGGAAGTCACGATGGTCACTCCAAACAAAATTGAGTTAATATGGTCAAAATGGCATTGCGATTACGTCACCGTTTTCTAAGAAGCTTGCTTTTTTCTTTGTTTCATTTGCTGAGACACTTAACGGGTCAGTAAACGAACTTCGACTTTTTTTTTACAACCCCCAAACAAGATCGCGCATCTTTCGTACGCCTGTCGTGTGTTAGCTTCGTCACATAGCAAGGCGTGTGACGCGAGGAAAATGGAGACAGTGAGGAAAACAAACGGGAGTTATATTGGACGAACAAAAAAACTATTGCACATACAGTACTATA